AATCTTGCTGTAGTAGCCAGGAAATATTCCTAAAGCAACTTCCGTGACTCTTTATTTAATCCTTATCAAACAATTACGTTGACCTCTGCAAAAATTTCTTTTTCCTTGGAATCCATCATTTTTAGGGACAACGTTCTGGACTTATATTTATCTAGGTTCTACATTGCAACAACAACAAAAAATTCACATTTTATTTGTTGCCAACACCAGTTTTCTTGCTCCAATGGCTTTTCCCCAGCCACCGGGGAATCACAACGTTTATAAATTGGAGAATCAAAATTTAGATAAGTAAGGAGGGTTCAGTCTACAAAATGCCAAAGCTACTGTTCAATTGATCAGACTAGTCAAACTGTCAGACATTGATCGTATAGACCCAAAAGGCATTGAATTTTATCTCATAGTCACTAGGGTTGTGTTTAACCCTCACTTGGAGACTTCCCCTGGTGGCACAGTGGTTAAGAATCCACCTGCCAATGCAGGGGACACGGGTTCAGGCCCTGGTCCGGGAAGATCCCACATGCCGTGGAGCAACTAAGCCCATGCACCGCAACTACTGAGCCTGCACTCTAGAGCCTGTGCGCTGCAACTACTGAGTCCATGCATCGCAACTACTGAAACCCACGCACCCTGGGGCCTGCATGCTGCAACTACTGAGCCCACTTGCTGCAGCTACTGAAGCCCATGCTCTGCCACAAGAGAAGCCACCATAATGAGAAGCCCGCGCACCGCAATGAAGAGTTAGCCCCTGCTCCCCGCAACTAGAGAAAGCCCTCGTGCAGCAGCAAAGACCCAATGCAACCAAAAATAAATGAGTAAGTAAATTATTTTTTTAAAAAAGAGCTACTTGAAACCCACTAAACTCACCAATAGGTAAATTGTTTTTGAAATAAACAGAGTTTATAAAATACTCTGATGTCAAGAAAAATCAAAGATGTCTCCTTCCACACAAAGGAACTAATACTAAAAAATGATTGAAAGAAAATAGATTAAAATTAAATTCAGAATATGAAATTGAAAAGTTAAAGCGTCCCATTATTTTGAGAATTGTGATAATACTGAACCTAACTAAATGGTGTTATTCTAACGTTATTGGTGTGCTCACTGGATAATGTGCTTCCTTATTACTGCAGATATGGGAATTTCCCATACACAGAAACTCAGTTGTAACAGTTGTTCTTAATAACATCAAAATGAAATTGTTCTTTCTCCACATACTTTATTGTGATCGTTGTGACTCACATCCACACACGGTTTTGAGCACCATGGTCAAACCCACAAGCCCGTGTTCCTAAAGGGTGGAATGCAGGCTCAGACCTGGGATTGTGAGGAATTCTCCACTGGATTGGAAATATAAAATAATTAAACAAACTGGTCCTTCACCACAGATGGTTTAAGAAGCACTGGTCTTGAACATTGCATGCTACATAGTAGGTGCTCAGAATTACTTGCTGAATGAAGGAATAGATAAAAAGGTGCCACTGGTAAAACAAAATTTCCTCATACTAATGTTTTGTTTTTGTTGTTGTTTTAAAAAGGGCTTCAAATGCTTGGCTATTTATTTATTTATTTTTATTTATTTATATTTATTATTAATTTATTATTTTTATTTAGTTATTTATTATTTATTTATTTAATGGCTGACTGTGTTGGGTCTTCATTTCTGTGCGAGGGCTTTCTCTAGTTGTGGTGAGCGGGGGCCACTCTTCATCGCAGTGTGTGGGCCTCTCACTATCGCTGCCTCTCTTGTTGCAGAGCACAGGCTCCAGACACATAGGCTCGGTAGTTGTGGCTCACGGGCCTAGTTGCTCCACGGCATGTGGGATCCTCCCAGACCAGGGCTCGAACCCGTGTCCCCTGCATTAGCAGGCAGATTCTCAACCACTACACCACCAGGGAAGCCCCCTTATACTAATGTTTATGTATTGTGTGTGACAGTTTGTTTACTTGTTCAGTATTCATCCATTATCTGTAATAAGGTGAATGAGAACTGGGTTAGGAGTCTTCTACCTGTTAGCCATGTTATCAATACATGCCAGTCAGTCTTTCTCTGCCTTTAAAATTTCCTCATTCAGCTTCAAATGAAACAGCGAACGTGAAAGCACTTTTTCCTTTTTTTAATAAAACTGGGTTTTACAAATGTGAGGTTTCATTGTTATTAACCTTTTTTTTCTTTAAGTGTAAGTTTCAGGTGTACAGTATTATAATTCAACATCAGTATACACTGTAAAGTGATCACCGCCACAAGTCTAGTTACCATCCATCACCGTATGGTTGAGCCCCTTCACCCATTTCTCCCACCCTCCCAACCCCTTCCCCTCTGGTAACCACTAATCTGATTTCTGTATCTATCCGTTTGGTTCTGTTTTATTTTGCTTGTTCATTTTTTGTGTGTTTTTGTCTTGTTTTTAGATTCCACATATATGTGAGATCATACGGTATTTGTCTTTCCCTGTCTGACTTATTTTGCTTAGCGTAATTCCCTCTAGGCCCACCCATGTTGTTGCAAATGGCAAGACTTTGTTATTTTTTATGGCTGAGTAGTATTCCACTGTGTAATACATATACCACATCTTTATCCATTCATCTGTCAATGGACACTTAGGTAGTTTCCATTTTTTATTCTCTCTAAAACCTAGGATCACTACACTTCTCTATGAAATATGAATTATGAAAAAACTAAAGAATATTGGTTAGGAACATAAAACACAGGAAGAGAATATTGCCGTGAAATAAAAGCTGGTCTGACGAGCCCCAGTGCTCTCTTGGCTAACACTCTGCACGTCTTTGTGATGTCCACATTGTATCACAACAATAATAAGAAACCCTCAGACTCCTGCAGTGCCTTTTGAACTATCCAACAGAGAATAAATTATTTTTGATATAGTTTTAGTCAAGTGTATTTTACAGTATTTTAACTCTTTAAAAATTAATTATTCAATATGGCCATATGGTACCTGCATATTAACCAGACAGTATTATTAACCAAATCTTCCTACTCTCGAGTCATGCCAGCAAAAGTTGATTAAGTACTATAGATGCCCACATATAAGGCGAGGTTTTCTCCAAAATTATCAGAAAAGGGAGTTGCTTTGTATTTGGGTCTTTACAAAGTCAAATTACAGAGTTCTCTCTCAGTTACATAGCTTTGAGAGCAAAGTACTGTCTTGGGGAAACATTACCATGGAAATCACCTCAGTCGATGCTACTTTTAAATGCTTGTAGAGGTCACCTGAGAGAATTGCTAGAAAAGATAGCAAAGAAACAACATGAATTTAATAACTTATTCTTCATAATCACTAGTATAGATATCAATGTAAACCAGCCTTTTAAAGATAAGTTTAAAAAACAATACTGTATATGATTATGTTGCAAAGATCAAGAGTAAATACCTATAAGATGCACTGGATATCACTATTATGCAGCTGAATAATTCCCATGGGCATCTGTTATGGGCTGAATTGTGTCCTCCCCAAATTCGTATGTTGAAGCCCTCACCCCCCAGTGCAACTTATTAAAAGATAGGGCCTTTAAAGAGGTAATTTAGGTTAAATGAGATCATAAGGGCTGGGCTCTAATCCAGCATGACTACTGTCCCTAAAAGAAAAGGAAGCGACACCAGGGATGCATGTATTCAGAGAAAAAAGCCATGTGAAGACACAGCAAGAAGGCGGCCGTCTGCCAGCCAAGGTAAGAGGCCTCAGGAGAAACCAAACCTGCTGACACCTTGATCTCGGACTTCCAGCCTCCAGAACTGAAAGAAAATAAATTTCTGTTGTTTAAGCTGCCCAGTCAACGGTACTTTGCTCTGGCGGCCTGAGCAGACTAATACAGCATCCTATATGTTGATTCGAATGGTGGAGTTTCCCAAATGGCGTAGATGGAAGTTCAGATTACGTGCCCCAGAAACCTGCCAGATGGTTTAAAGTGGCCTTGCTCATGAGGACAAAGCAAGTGGCAAAGATGTTTGTGAAGTTTGATTGAAATTGTTTCATAAAATAAGCATGAAAAAGGTAATGTTCTAAAAATATTTTTTAATATTAAAAGTTGACGTTCAGCTATTTCATCTATATTCCTTTACGTTTTTCTACTAGAGTTTGCTAAAAAATCTTTTTTTTTTTTTGATGAGCTTTTATTGGAAGAAATGGGAGATTGCCTTGTAATTAGGCTTTCTGCAAATTTGGGTCTTTTTAAAGATTAAAGTATAGCCCTCATTAAGAAATAACATGATATTATTTAGTATAGGGATCAGTCAAATTAACTTTGGAGTAAAAATGGCATTACTGTGTACAGAATTTAGTTGAGTTTCAAACAAATGCTGTTGGGATAAGTTTGGTAGGGGTTGATCCTGTAGATATATGGTATGAATAGCTATTTGTTTTTTAAATAATAGAACACTCTCCTTTATCCCATGCTCTTACATCAGTGGCCATTGTTTTCTGGTTCACAGAAAATGCTGGTATTCACTGAGTATAAATGGAGATGACCAGTGATGTGCTCCTGTTTCTTTTTTCAAAATTCAGAAACCGTGTATTTCTCATCCTAAAGAGTTACAGGTAGTCCCAAATTATGCATTTCCTTGAAAAGTTTATGCAGGAAAAAATCAGTCTATTCCCAAGTTCCTCAGTGAAGATATCACATTACTGACTTCACTTTGAACTTGGACATGCTCCAAGGTGGAGATCCATGAAGCAGTAACTATTAAACAGGGAACACTTACACACAAGTTTTCTAGGCTAGTTACCTCTATGACAAAACTGACAAAATGCATGCATATACCCTCTTCTTCAAAGTTGCCCTGCCAGGGAAATTTCCTACCCAAGTCAGAAGCCATTGCACCCAATCAAAAGAGCTTTTCTGGTGAAGAGGTAAAACCTCAGGAACCACAAGAGGTAAATCAAAGGAGGAATATTAGTATTGCCTTGTATTGAAATCAACATGAGGAGATGCATATAAAATAGGTAAGAGGCTATAAACAAGTATGAATTTTGATCAAAGTGGGGTTTAGGTGCATGTATGTTCCATGTAAATGAACTTTAGGTGCTTCCCAGTTCCACTTGGTCCAGAGAATAGAATGACACTCACGTAAGGGACATGGTTCATATGAATAAGCATTTAGGGTCTAAAAGAGGTTGAACCACAGTGTGCCCACCTCACTGGCAGCGTGCTTTTCTAGGGGATCTCAGTAACACCTGTCGTCATTTGCTATGGGTGTTTATACCTGCAGCACTGAGTATAATGCTGTGTACACAATAGGTGGTCAGTAAGTGCAAGTTAAACCGTAGGTATCTTGTCAGTAGTTTTGGAAAGGTGGAGAAGGGTGGGTACTGTGAACTTTCTTTTCATCATAACCTTAAGTTATTTTTCATCATTCAGGTATTTCTGTAGTACATATAGAAGAATGTGAAATTTATAGAATTACAGGCATTTATGAGAAAATTGACCAGTATATTAAATTGAATAAGATGTATGCAGCTGGAAAAATGATTCTGGAGTATTTATCAATGGCATGAGTGTCAATCTTCATGCTCACGTAGCTGCTCCTCTGGCTTTTCCTCTGTGGGGAGCTCCTCTCCGAGGCCAGCGTCAGCTGCACCATCATCCTGTCTGGCTTGTCTCCGTTCTCGGGCGTGTAGTTGCCCAGGTCATTCACCTCCCCATCACTGTAGCTGCCGTCCAGCAGGACCGCGTGTGGCTGAGGCAACCCGCAGGTGCAGGGAAGCTGCGGACACAGCAAACGCACGTTGGGATGTGAGCTCAGCATCCTCTCTCAGAAGCCCTTCCAAAGAAGCTGCCTAGTGGAGAGCATTGCCTTTTTCTAGTTTTTATTATGGGTTTGGGGGAATAATGGTGGTGGCACAGTAAACATTCTAAAACAGCAGGTAACCCATCAACTGTTAGGAAACATCACGTCATATCAGAGATGCACAAGAAGGTTCATGATCAGATAATCGGCATGTTCTCCATGAGATCATAAACTGATATGAGCCCTGATAAAAATGTTTACAATTATTGCATATGTGTGTGTGTGTGTGTGTGTGTGTGAGAGAGAGAGAGAGAGAGAGAGAGCGCGGGGGGGGGGGGGGGGAGGGATGGGGGGGAATTTGAAAGGTGTGGCATTGTGGGGATAGTTCCTCCTATGTAGCTAGAGTTTTCTGGAGGAGATAACCATTGAATTGCAGACAGGAGGATGAAAGGGAAACCAGGTAGGAGGGAAGATGATCTGGGAAGTGATGGGAGATGTATGAGGTCATATGTGGAGGAAAATTTCCTAGAATGGAGGATATGTTTCCCTGGAAGCTTTTATATATATATAAATATATATGTATAATATATATTATATATGTTTATATATATAATGTTTATTGAAGCATTTATTATAGTGGCAAAAAATGGAAACTATACTGCCCATTAATAGGGGAATAAATCATGTTACATCCAAGCCATTTATTATACCACTATTAAAAAGAATGTCTTGGAAAAAGAAATTCCTGGAAGTTTCTTTTATGATACCTCTACGTTCATAAGTCATTTGTTCCACTGTGTTGAACTGCCATTTATTTTTATCACTAAACTACCAACACCACCAAGATTAAAGGGACCACGTCTTAGTTAACTTGGCTTAACAGCTCCTGGTATATGGTAGGTGCCAAATAAATATTTGAATGAATGAAAGAAGCCCAGAGTAAATTTCACACCGTTTTTGTTTGCTCTTCACACCAACCCATGAAGTAGGTGGAGGAGGGGGTGTCATTGTCCCATTTTACAGAGGAGGTTGGACCTGGCCAGGGTCCAGAGCTAGTCCAGGTGCCCATTCCAGGGCAGACACTCCAGCTCATGGTAAAGTCACCTTCTCCTGCGGCTTCCGCTCTTTCCTCTCCTGCACGGTGGTCAGGTAGTTGACGGCCGCATACTCCAGCACCGAGAGGAACACGAACACGAAGCTGACCCAGAGGTAGATGTCCACGGCCTTGATGTAGGATACGCGGGGCATGGAGGCGTTCACACCCGTGATGATGGTGGACATGGTCAGCACCGTGGTGATCCCTGCAGACACAGTGAGAAAGAAGCATGGGTTTGTCTTTCACCAAACCCACTGGATGGCTTCGTGCCTCTGTTCTTTCTCCCACCTGCTCCTCTAGCCTAGAATGTCTCCATCCCTGCCCCCTCTGTCTAGCAAACACCTGCTCACCTTTCCAGTTTTAGCTTTTATGAAGCTTCTCCTGTTTCTCCATCCCCCGTGCTCACCCTCTCCCGGCTCTGTGTCCCTGCATCTTCATCACAGCCTTTGCATCACTCTGTTCTTCTGCAGAGAGCCCCTGACAGGTTGGCAGGGTCTTCCCATTCAATTGCTCAAAACAAAGATTGCAGGGGACTTCCCTGGTGGCCTAACGGTAAGGATTCCGGGCTATCACTGCCCTGACCCGGATTCAATCCCTGGTCGGGGAACTGAGATCCCGCAAGTAAATAAATAAAAAGTAAATAAAATAAAAAGTAAATAAAATAAATGAATAAAAAAACAAAGATTGCATATATGAGCAGGTATGTATATTTCTTGTAACTCCTTCTCCAAAAAAGGGGAAAAAGGTACACAAGTTTTATTTTAATCTTTGTGCCCTCGTTGCTGGTGTAGAATCTTGCAGTCCTGGGCCTCTATTACCAGCTGTCAGGGCACCTCTGGCAGAGCCCCATCCCACTATGCTGCACCTGGCTGCGCATTCTGCCATGTTGACTTGAGGACTCAGTCAATTTTACCAAGAATGATGTTAACCTCATTTATGGGAAACAGATTTTTCAAACTAGAATGTTTATTTATTGAGCACAGTAACTGTTCAAGCTACAGAACAACCGTTAAAGGCCAGGGCATCTGTCAGTGGAAATTTCCCCAAGATTTCAAATTAAGCTCAGAACATTTGCTTGGCAAACACCAAATCACAGCGGATTGGGGTCATCTTAAGGGCCAGCGCCAATCCTATTTCACTAAAACCTGGTGGGTCATCTCTCCCTTGAAGCTCCTGGACGTATTAGCAATGGTGCCGTGTGCGGAGTGGGCGCGATATTTAAAGCGGGGAAGAGAGTTGATAGCAAATAGCTGTTGATGGAAGGCTTGTAGAGTAGGGACTCTCAGACTTGAGTATGTATAGGAATTACGGGGGCGGGATAGGGGGGTGGTCACTGAAACAATGATAATAATAGCTAGTTCGTGAGCTTTTTTTATGCGAATTAAGTGGGATAATGTATGTAAAACAGCCCAACACTTCACAATTAGTATTAGCTGTTACTATGTTACCTTATGGATTGAAAGCAGTGACAGACACCAATGATAAGGTGTTTTTATCTTTGTGAACCAAGGCAAAAGATCATGAAGACTTGATCAACAGATCAATGAGTAAGAAGAAGAAACCAGTCAAGACAGGAAAAGGTAATAGATGCGCAAGAAAGTGGAAAAATAACAATAAAAAAAGAAATTTGGACAAGCAATTAAAAAAGCGAGACTTCCTAAAATCTGGTTAGTTTTCTGACTTTAACTTGAAGAATGTGGGACTTCCCTGGTGGCACAGTGGTTAAGAAACCGCCTGCCAATCCAGGGGACATGGGTTCGAGCCCTGGTCCGGGAAGATCCCACATGTCGCAGAGCAACTAAGCCCATGCGCCACAACTACTGAGCCTGCGCTCTGGAGCCTGCGAGCCACAACTACTGAGCCCACGTGCCACAACTACTGAAGCCCGCGCGCCTAGAGTCCAAGCTCCACAAGAGAAGCCACCGCGATGGGAAGCCCGCGCACCATAACGAAGAGCAGCCCCCGCTCGCCGCAACTAGAGAAAGCCGCGCGCAGCAATGAAGACTCAATGCAGCCAAAAGAAAATAAATTTTTAAAAACGGAGAGATAAATTGAAGAATAATTTGCTTACAATAGAGTGCATAAATCCTAAATATTGAGCTCAATGAATATATATTTCTATAACTACCATACAAATCAAAATATAAAACATTTACAGAAAAAAAAATTACTGGGGGAGCTTGTTCAAAATGCAAATTCCTGGTCCTCTCTCAGAGCTTCTGATCCTATACATGTAGATGGGACCCCGGATTCTTCATTTTAAACAATTTCCCCCAAAGACTGTCACAAAGATCCCTTGGGCCACCTTTGGAGAAACCCCATTACAGAATGTGACTTTCTTAGGCAGGTGGGCAGAGAAAGCACCACAGACCAGGACCACCCACCCCAGAACTCAGCTCTAACAAGATTAAAGATGAGTTGTTTACATGGGAACCTATGGGGACCTAGAAACAGCTTTGCTGCATAGTTTTGTTTTGTTTTTTTTTCTTTTTTGGCCTCAATGCTTTTGGGATCTTAGTTCCCAGACCAGAGATGGAAGCTGGGCCCTCAGCCATGAAAGCACAGAGTCCTAGCCATTGGACCACCAGGGAATTCCTGCTACATAGATTCTTAATAGTGGCATTTTACCTGTGAATGAATAACAAAGTTTTTCCAAGTTATAATACCAACAGGGGTTCAGGGCCAATTTGGAAAGAATGGTTTTATCTGGAAGGAATTACTTGTATTTTCAGATATCTGGAATGTGCACTTGAGAGGTTTCTTACCTAAAGGGACTCTGGCGGGCACAGCTCTGCGGTCGATCCAGAAGGACACCCAGGACAGCATGACCATCAGGGTGGCGGGAAAGTAGGTTTGCAGCAAGAAGAAGAAGATGTGGCGACGCAACGTGAAGTTAATGTAGAGACGGTTGTACCAGCCTGGGGGACACAGGAAGAAAAGAGAACACACAGCAGAGCCACTCAGCTCCTTCATAGGACAAACTTTATTCAGAGGATCATAAATGCCTTAGATGCTTCCCTGGAAACTTACCCTACCTTCACAAAGGGGAAGTGAGAAAAACCATGGAACAGAGTGATTATACAATAACTCATACCGCATGGGTGAGTCCATCTCAAGGAATTTTGGCCCTCATTCTGTACGTAAAGGGAACCAGGCCATTGAAGACTCTTGTTACTCAAACTACAGCACAGGGCTCAGCAGTACCGCCATCACTTGGTTGCTTGTTGGAAATGCAGACTCTCGGGCCCCGCCCCAGATCCTACTGACTCAGAACCTCCTTTTAACACTCCTCCCCACATGATTCCTGTACACGTTAAAGCTTGAGATGTATGGATTTAACAACGCCCGTTGGATTTCTTATGGGGGAAAATATGTTTGAAGTTAAAATACCAAGCTAACTACAACAATGCATTTAGGCTATGCTTTAGCTCCACCCTGTTGTTCTTTACAAGGAAAACTTACAGGGAGGAGTTGAAAGGAACAGGAGAATGGTGGAAGGAGAGGAAAAGGCAGGATAAATTGGACATGATGAGGGCTGAAAATAAAATGGGGACTTGGCAACATTAACTAGAAAACTTCGCATCCAGGACAATTTTAGTGCAACGGTTATAATTATAACAGCTCCAAAAAGTGACTGTGGAGGTGCTTACGGACTGCCTGTGTCCTTCTCAAACTCGTGTGTTGAAACCTAATCCTCTATGTGATGGTGTTTGGAGGTGGGGCCTTTGGGAGGTGATTACATCATGAACGGGATTGCTGCCCTTATAACATGTGTCTCAGAGAGCTCCGTCGCCTCTTCCCCCATGTGAGGACACAGTGAGTCTCTGAACTAGGGAGCGGGCTCTCATAGACACTGAATCTGCTGGGACCTTGATTTTGGACTTCCCAGTCTCCAGAACTGTGCGAAATAAATTTCTGTTGTTTGGAAGCTACCCAGTCTATAGTACTTTGTTATAGCAGCCTGAAATGGACTCACGCAAGGAGGGAGGTCAAAATGCTAAGAGTCAAAGGAATGGGGGATCCCCCAAAGGACCAAGACTGGTGGGTTATGTATGCAAAAGATAAGAGACGCAGGATCGCCACATGTTGGAAGGGAGCAGTGCCCTCTGTTACAGATCAGAGAGACTCAAACGGTGGCACTTCTCTGGGTAGTCAACCATGCGATGTTTTAGCAACAGAAACTGCATAAAGATTAGAGCAAAATCAGCCTGAAAGGTAATTGGTCAAGAAAGAGGCAAGGGTTGGAGAGAGTGAAGCTCAGCTGTAACCTCAGCTGCCAAGAGGAATACCACAGCGCCTGCCCTCAGGCAACGTCGGCGCGGGGGGAGGATTGGCAAGGGCCCAAGCAGGACCCTTGGTTCAGAAAGCAACAATACTGCCCACAGAGAATGACCAATGACCAGTAGTTCCTGCACCGTGGCTCACCAAGAGGGTCGTGCAAGCAGTATGGTAGGAGGGGATTGGTTAAGAGAGAAGCACTCAAAGGGGCTGAAGCCAAGAGAACATGAATGGAAAACAATAAACCTGAAATTGGACTATTTCTTGCCCATAGGAGAGGGCACTCTGGGAGTTATATCAGGGTGAGATTCCTGCTGCTAAACTGGCGATGCTGTCGTCTCAAACAGACCTCCCCATGGGGTTTATGTTGGAGCCCTTACCAGCATTTTCTAGGTTATCACTTCTGATGCTTTGGAAGTATCAAAAAATCACCCCCACCCAATGCTCACCACCCTCTAGACCTGATCTAGAAGTCCAGATCCTTGGTTTCAAATCCAAGTGGCACAGGCTCTGCTCACTTGACCACAAATTCACAGGCTTTCTGAGATGGAGGATGCCCCGCCCCTCTCTTAGCCCCGCCCCCACCTGTGCTGCTGTAGAAGGCCAGTTTGGTGGTGGTGTGGAACTCCTGGATGAGGAACTGGGAGAGTGAGATCCGCTCATCTGTCTTTAAAGAGTCATTGCCTTTCTTCCAGTATAGCATGAGGTCGTCTTCCGTGTAGGCATCTGGAAGGACAGAGACAGCGTCAGACGCCAGGAAAGACGACGAGCCTGTCTGTGAGGCTCTGTGGGGATTGGGATAAGATGAAGCAAAAGTAAATCCAAAAAGACAAATCTAATTCTCCTCGGCCTTCCAAAAGTCATCAGGGCAAAGCCCTCAGGCCTAAATGATCATCATTGCTGCAAAAGTGCTCACCCCTCAATTCAGCCTTAAACCAGATGAAATTGCTATACTTGTAGACCAGAAACTACAATTTGCTCTTTTAAAAAATTTGTTTGCAGGTTAAATAGCGGCAACATTTCATATGGTTCAGCTTTCTAAACCATGGGTGATTTACACCTTTCTTCTTTCAAAGGGTGACGATGCATTATTGATGGCAAATACCTTTGTTGTTCTTTTCTTGTTTTTAGCAGCATGTGGGATCTTCCCGGACCAGGGCACGAACCCGCGTCCCCTGCATCGGCAGGCGGACTCTCAGCCGCTGCGCCACCAGGGAAGCCCGGCAAATACCTTTAAACACTCTCTCAGGTAATGAGGGCTGCATTCCAGCAAGAAAGGACCCATAAAGAGATGCAGCAGAACAAGTCCCTTCTCTGCAGGCTTCCAGTTGCTCCTGCCCAGGGTAGACTCAAAGCGATTCCCCTGAGGACTGCTTCCCCTCTGGCGCTACACTTCCCCACCCTGCCCACCTGGCTGAGCACACCGTCTACCCCAGCCAAGCAGACCTACCTGCTGCGTGGGCAGAACTGGGGTAAAACCCGCAGGGGTTGCCGGTCCAGTCTGCTCGTGTGTAAACAGTTCTTTCTGGGGGCTCCCTGAGGCTCTATTTTATTCCTCTTTTATTCTGCCTCTAACCCTTGACCTGTGTGATGGCTGCTTTCACGTGTCCCCTTGGCCAGGCTATAGTAAGAACCCAGTGATTCAATCCGACACCAATCCAGGTGCTGCTGGGAAGATGCTTTGTAGTTGTGACATCCACAACCAGTTCATGTGAAGTAAAGGCCATGACCCAGATTAATCTGGGTGGGCCTGATCCAATCAGTTGAAAGGCCTAAAGAGTGGACCTGAGGTTTCCCAGAGGAAGAAGACATTCCACCTGTGGGCAACAGGGTGGGCTCCTGCCCGAGAGTCCCCGGGCTGCCCTTCCCCACGGCCTGCCTTGCAGGTGATCACCGAGCCCTGCGCTCCGGTCCCCTGTACTAGCTCTCTCCCTGTGTATCTCCTATGGTTCTGCTTCTCTGGTGGAACCCTGACAGATGCTGCTGCCTGGGTATTGTGGGGAAAGCAAGGTCTGGAGCCAACAATTAGTCCTTCGCTCTGTTACGCCCCTCCTCTGTGTAATGGAGATCACAGGGAGCTTGGAAGGATTAAAGGACAGAGCAGGTGGAAAGCCGCGGTGCAGGAAGCAGTCACCCCCTTGGTCCTGGGGTTTATTCCCCCTGATCCCACACTAAGCGCCCTGCAGAGCTGTCCATGTGGCCCCTGCTACCTGCGGGTCCACGTCCCTGCACTCCTCGGCCCTGGATGACTGGAGCCAGGGGACCCCTGCTGCACCACCACCTCCCGGGGAGACTTACCAAGGTGCCCTGGGCCAACATGACTCCTTACGGGACTTTGACACAGGCTGAGACGTGGCAGTGGGTGTGTGTTGGTTCGGGAGAAGTATAGGAATGGGAGTCATGGGAGGGTCCATACTGTGCCCATCAGAGGAAACGTTCTGGCAGAGATTGGGGCACGGGGGCAGGTTCGCAGAGAGCTAGAGATGCCAGCGGCTAGTCCTGGATGCTGCCGCAGCCTTGCTCTTCCTGGGGCTGGTGTTTAACTTTCCAGGGCGTGTGTGTGTGTGTGTGTGTGTGTGTGTGTGTGTGTGTGTGTGTGTGAAGTTTCCCGAGGTCCCTTAGTTGTACCTGAGCATCTCAACCACCACCTGCACTCACAATGGCTGTCCCCTGGGGCAATTGTTGCCAAACTTGTTTTTGCCAGGAAAGTCTTTCCTCAGTGGAAATCTTATTCAGAAGAGCAATAAAACAGATCCAAAAGGAACTTTCTGGTGGGCTGCGTGTGTGAGTGCTGGGCTGGGGGGCTTGAAAGGAGACCAACGTTTGCTGAGCCCTCTGCTCCCCCTCCCCGAGCTCTTGCCCTGGCGAACTGGGAAACATCTAGGTTCCACAGCACCAAAGTTCAAAGCCATTGCCATGGGCATTAAAAGGGTCAGTTATGGGAATAGAAGGTTTGAGTCCCAAATTTGTTTCCGATTTTCAAACTTACCCCAGACTTCGCTTCTATCTAAAAAGTCATTTTAAAAGCACACGCACAGATTAGGAACACGTCCTGCTCCTGTTGAGGGTCAGAGGTGTTTAGAGTAACTTCAGATGTGTGTGTGGCTATCTGGGCACAAGCCTACTCACAGCTCTCAATTTCGAGCGAGCACGTTTGTGTGTCCAGGGGAAACCGGCTGAAGTCCATGTTGCACATGGCAGTCACTGTAACCCTAGAAACAAAAACACAAAATCCAAGTGTGCAGAGGCTGCAAAGTACAAGTGCAAAATGATAAAACAAGCAGAAAGCCCTCTGCTTCCTCCCAATACAACTGCCTCCTTCTTGTAATTCATAAGCAGTGTGCCAGGATTTAGAGAACCAAGCATCTTATGTGTGATACCCAGATTGGAGTACTCTTGGGTGTTTATGTTTAACCCCAGGGTCAGTGTGGGGAAAACAATGACTGCACTAAACTCCCATCACATGCAAGCATTGTAGTGAAGCAATGGTCTCATTCGATAAAACAATGTGAAATCACAACTCATCTGATATTGTTCCTTAAACCATAGGAGCATTTACGGCTCTCCTGTTTCAGATCATTAAAATTCTTCTTTTACTGATTTTATTGACATTCAATATTTGTGTCCAGTGTCTTAGAGATAATATTCATGAAGTATTTATGCCAGTTGCCAAATCGGCACTTTTTTTTTTACAATGTTGATATTTCTATATTGATAATAACATCTACTAGTGGACGCAGGTGTTTTTAATGGGTAATTCCATGGAGATCACAGTAATGGAAAAACACTGGAAGATCTTACGGTATCAACATGCAAGCACTTGTTGGCATCTAACGGTTTTGCTTCAGAGTTTACACAGGAAAGTAAGATTCTGCATCAGAGAAGAAGCAAATACAGATTGTCAGTCATGGAGGAAAGACCTCCCGCCCCGTGTGGAATCCCATGGCAGGTTACGATTAACAGTCATTGGCTAGTGAACATACTATTTTTCCTTCAACCACAGAAAATTGGTTATGTATAAGTTGTAAAACTTATCTGGATAATTCACGGCCAAAAAGGAAAAAAATTCACTTGTAAATGGAAATTTCAAGGAAAAGAGCTTTCTTGAAGAAATTAATTATCCATATATTCACCTTATTTTCCTCGTTCCATTTGAGTGTTGGAATGGTTGTGTTCTGGGAGGGTTTCTGTATTGTTAACAGCTGGGTCATCTTATCTCCCCTAGAAATACTGATATACAGGATGTTTTTGGGGGGTTGTCAGGCTGGCCCCTGACTTGGACACCTAGTGGGTAGCCAGCCTCCCATTTCTCTGGGCACATCACCAGATAACCACACCTGATAGCATCACCAGCAAGAAAGAAACTAGGAACTAAGCTTGGAGACGCTTGTGGCACACTTTGGGGACATGAAATGTCAAATGCAGGCAGTTTTTGCTGTGAACAAAAGGATCAAAAAGCTCTACTCTCTGTATCAGTAGGTACAGGAACAGATGTTTTTAGAACCACAGACATCATCAGACTGGTTCTTGGCACCCTGACTTGATGATTTCCACTTGTAGCCCACACACTGAACAAGCACAGTGTGTGGTGTGATCTCACCCGTGTTTATTATTATGCTTCCCACAAGTCCCTTTAAACTGTTCCAGTGGGAGGATCGTCCCCTGTCCTGGATGAAAACTTGCCAGGTCCTGGGATTTTCCTGCTTACTCTCATGTGACAGGCAGTCAAAACCCTCAGAAGTAACAAAACACATCTCGCTTCCGAAATTAAAAGAACTCTGGGCCGAGATATTAATCAACACTTCAAATTTCATTCACATTGAGACTTCTTCTCCCCGTCCCCAGCTAAGGCAGAGCCGGCATTTGAGTGGTCAGTGTCTGCCCATCTCTGGTCGCCTCCTACCTACGTGGGTGGAAGTGGGGGCAGGGGGAGGGCAGGACAGTTCTCTGGTGAGGGTGGCTTCAAGCTCTCTGGGCCTGCTATGTAGTTGAAGCGGAGACTTTCTTTCCTGTGTCCTTCATTCCCACCGCTGGACACCTGCATCCTTCAGCCGCATCTCCCATGCCAGCTCTTGGCTCACCCACTGTCCATCCCACACACACTGAACTACTCCCAACAACCCTGGTAGTGCAGACTGAGCCCACCTGGCTCTGCCCCTAGGTGGTTAGGTAGCTCTTCTCTCGCCCACTAACTGCAGTGTCCCCCAACTGTAGGCACACATGCTCCAAGCTCTCCAAGTGGTCCCCGTGGTCCCACTGCAGGCCCGCTCATGCAGTGCCCCCAGCTCTCCCCCAAAACATCTCTTCCTCCCACAATCACTGACTCTCATATCTTGAAGCTGACTGGGAATTCAAGAGCCATGGAATTGGTTTTTCAAGCTACCTAGTGTTTTGGTCTAGTCCTCTGAATCCCTGGTGTTATTCGATCGTGTTATTTTGTTGGTGGTTGTTGAGCTGAAGATGTCTTGGCAGCTGCCTCAAATGTGAGGACTCCTGGGAGAATCAACCCCACATGGCTTGGGGAAGGGGTTGCACACCCTTGAGCCACCTGGGTACTCCTGTGAGAGGAGGTATTTCAGGCCCTGCAGAGGAATACTCCATGACCCTGCTCTGAGTCTGGTATCTAACTGCTTAGATTCCAAGCCAGCATGAGTAATGAAGGATTATTATAAATATTCCTTTGGGAGATGGGGGCGGAAATTCAGCTTCGACACTGCCAGCTCTGACTCTAAAGATACACTGCATCCACGCAGACACCCCCTACGTAGACACTGGTGTGTGGATTCAGCTTTACCAAAACCAAGTCTGTAAAACTGAAATGTACCATCAGCACAGCGCAGAAGGAGTAAATCTCAGCCAGCAGCTGAGTCGCTTCTCTGTGAAGGCCTGAGCTCATCTCCACACGCCCTCCCAGGGGGAGGCGGGCACCACAAGTTTCTAAATTGGGCGTACAGGGAAAGCCCCACTGCATGCCTGTGCTTAAGGAAAGCTTCCCCACGTCAGTGCTTGATGAGCAATTAAACATTTCTAAGGCTACTGCACAGCACAGGGAATAGAGCCAATATTTTCTAATAACTGTAAATGGAGCATAGACTATAAAAATATTGAACCACTATGTTGTACACCTGAAACTAATGTAATATTGTAAATCAGCTATACTTTAATAAATAAATAAATGAATGAAAGAAACATTTCTAAGGTATCTAAGCTTGTGAGAAGATTTTATTCTTTATGTTTTCAAAGTGATGCTCAAAATACCAATATCAAGCGGCCCAGGGTCCCCATAGTTTCTCAAGGAGAACACCAGGGAGAAGGGACAAAAAACAAGCCTGAGCTGCCCAGGTGAGGTAAACAAATTTTTTTCTAAACCAAAATTTCAAATCGGAAATTGGGAATCGGAGGAGTTGAAGGAGGCAGGTCTTTGAGAAGAATATGTCAGCTACTTCTCTGACCCCTACTAGAGAAATAAAACTTTCATTAAACTTTTGAAATTGAACTTGAATAGGGCATAAATCATAAGCACCAGCCTGAGAAATTTCCCCAAGTGTATTTGCAAGACGAAATAATTCTTTAAAATGTTTACTCTGGGGCTTCCCTGGTGGCACAGTGGTTAAGAATCCGCCTGCCAATGCAGGGGACACGGGTTGCGCCCTGGTCCAGGAAGATCCCACATGCCGCAGAGCAACTAAGCCCGTGCGCCACGATTACTGAGCCTGCGTGCTACAACTACTGAGCCCAATGAAGAGTAGCCCCCCTTCGCCACAGCTAGAGAGAGCTCACATGCAGCAACGAAGACCCAACGCAGCCAAAGATAGATAGATAGATAAATAAATAAATAAATGTTTACTCATGTGTAGAGTTAGGTTTTCTTGATGTTGAAAAGTCGGCAGCTCCTGGAAAGTTAGAAGCTAAGCTGTTCAAAGCCAAAAAGCAGAATTCCCTGGCGGTCCATGGTTAGGACTCCGCTTCGACTGCAGGGGGCACCAGTTCCATCCCTGCTCGGGAACTAAAATCCCACAAGCCACAAAAAAAGGTAAAAGCAAAACTGCTGTGGTGGGACCAGTGATGTTCTTGGTTGACAAAAGTTTTCCCTTCCTCCCAGCTTCGGGAGTAAGAGGACTCAGAGGGAAAGAGGGAGGCCAGGAAGGGCTCACCTGAGGCTGTAGAGCACTTTGCCGTCGGGCTGGACCCGCAGCATCACATTGTCCGTGGTGGTGTCGTGGATGAAGGAGCGCTTGGAGTGCACGAAAAACATGTCGGGGACCCAGATCTTCTTCACCAGCCGGCCATCAAACGTCATGCTGAGGTTTTTGGTGCTCGGGAAGGACAGCCTCTCGTCCTTCCAGTAGTGCCGCAGGTAGAGGGTCATCGTGAAGTCCTGGGGGGCGAGGGCAGAGAGGGAGACCCCACCCACTGAACAGCTGGGTGATGGCAGGACCCTCTGTACCCCAGGCTGGGGAGGGAACTGAGCCCGGGAAGTCCTTGCTTCTAGTCCCTGGGGTTTGCTGCCGCAGGAGGCTCTCGAACCCTGCTTGGGGCGGGGGGACTCAGCAAGAGGCTCTACAGAGGGGGGACCTGAGCCCCACTCCATCCTCTGACACTCGCCTCCGCTGGGCAAAGGCTGCTACCGCTGGCAATGAGACCCCCAGCCTGAGAGCTCCCAGCCCACGCACAGGGCCAGCCCCAAATGCCAGACAGTTCAAGCCTCTGGAAGCAGCCCTCAGCCAGGCAGTGGAGCTGGGGGAAGGGCTGGGAGATGGACAAGTAACCCAGCTCCTGGCCCCTCAGCTGCGACAACGCTGAGGTGAGTTCTTTGCTGACTCGGAGTACCCCCGAGGGACCGAGTCTCCCTTAGATCTGGTTGGATGGCATGGCCCTTTCTGCTTCCTTCCCTTCCCCTGTCCCCAGCCTCTTCTCGTGTTTCCCGGGATCACCGGCAATAAACTGCTTGTGCTGGAATGCTTGTCTCAGGTCTGCTTCTTGGGGAACCCAAACTAAGATAAGGCCCTACAAAGTCCTGTAAGTCAAGGAGCTGTGGAATGTTCTATCTTTTATCTAAGTCCACTAAAAAGGAAAAACAGAGGAAACTTTTGCTTTTTCTGCATTTTCACAGCCAGACACAGAATCCACAGCAGTAGCATATATCTGGATCCTTGGACCCTGCTGTTTGTGTTGGAGAGCCTTTGCCCAGAGAACAATCCCAGTGGCAAGACCCTGGACACTGGGGCAGGGAAGATCATGTTTGTCATCTGGCTCTGTTTCATATCAATTGGGTAGCTTTGAGCAAGTGTCTCAACCTCCCTGAACTGTAAAACGAGTGTGGGAATTCCCACCACCTGGGGAGTTATGAGCCTGGTGAATTCTGGTGTGTGGAGCTCCTGGCCCAGCATAGGCCCTGTGGGAATCTCCCTGTCTGCAGCTCTGGTTAGAGAAGCACTTACCATGTCGACCTCTGAGATGCTGTCCAAGCTCTCCACCTGCACATCCACGCCAACAGGAATGGCCGGGCCTGGGGACAGGGCACGGCAAGAGCATTTATTCTTTTCACTTGAACTCTGACTGTGAATGAGACAGGCGTAAGGAGCATTTCCCCTGGAACCTCCGTGTCTTGTCAGATTTGAAGGTTTGGTGTCCCACATGCCAGGATAACCAGAGATAAAAGGGTGGAGTCATGGGCTGGCTCCCTGGAATATTCCAACTAAGGTGAAAAGAAATGTTTTTGGTCTGAATCATCCAGGTGATTCTGAAACAATTAGATTAATATAAAGCATCTGTCTTTGGTTACACATGCTCATCTAAGGGGACGATGAAGACCTAGATCAAAGTCAGGTCCCATCTAAGGAGTTACTCCTCAGCATGAGGTCACACATTTTATATTTTTATATTTACCTCCTGGTTTTGTACCCTCTTTCATCTTGGAAGCCAATGTCTCTGGCCGTAAGAAAGGCATTGCTTGGTAAATCAGTGCCCAAAGTCATATTCAAAACATTAGCCAAGTCCACAGATCTGCGTCTTTGCTACATGATGGAGTAGCTTCCATGGGGGATGTGATACACTGGGATAGATATGAAAACATTAGATTGGGGGGGCGTGTTTCTAGGCCATAAACACCATATTCATAAAGAGAAAGAATTATAAGGGCAGTAGATTGTTGCCTCTTTCCCTCCCTGCCTTCAGGCGTGGAGGGCAGGCACGGAACACGCTTAGGCCATCACAGAGTGGAAAGGCGGCTTTGGAGCCAACAGCAGCTGAATATGGGCCGGACGGAGACCCCCTTCCAGAACCTGTTTATTCTTTAGGCAAAGGCGACTGGAAGAAATAAAAGGCGTGAGAATGATTTCTGAAATAAATATTTTTTTTTTCCCAGGGAAAAAACCCGTAAGGATGAAAACCCTATTTGACACTAAGAAAGCTGAAACCTGGCAGCTGCAGGCTAAGCTTCAGAGGGCTTTGGCATCCCTCAGCACTAAATCATTATTTTCTCTAACTATTTTCATTTAATTAAACCCAGTAGACCACACTCTGCCCTTGGATGTGGACCCAGAGTTCTGTCTGCCAGCTCCCAGACGAGAACAAATTTAGTCCAAGATCGTTCTTTCCGAGCATTTTCAGGAGGCAGCTTTGGGATGCAGCTGCCCTGTCTTCCCATTGCCGTCCTCACAGCCAGCGGCTGGGCTCCCCGATGCTGAGCCATCCCTGTCAGCAGTGGCCCGAGGACAGCTCGGCTGGGCTGGCCTGGCCACCAACCAGCAGCCACCTCCCAAGAATGCGTCCAGCAGAGCCCAGGGCAGGCCGGCCAGGGGAGGTACTCAGATGACGCTGGGGGCTCAGTGGCCTTGTTCCCCAAGCACAACCAAGGCAGACTTGAATGCAGGGAGCAACGTTGAGTGGACCCTTGGCTTGATTTCTGCCCACAGACAGACAGAAGGACCTGTAGAAAGAAGACAAGCCCCCACAGTGCGTGTTTCATACCTCCAAAGCCAGGCCTCATGCTGAAATCGTGGTCATCTATCCTCAGGAGCTGTTCTGACTTTGTCAGTGGCGATTTGGTAATATCAGGGCTGCGTTTAAGAACTGGGCTGCAGAGGGGGAGAAAACAGGTTGATCACATCACCTAATTAAGCCAGATAAAACCCATTTGCATTCAGACTTGATCTTGACAAGTTTGATGGGATGTGTTATTTCTTCTTTAAAGCTGATGGAAATCCTCTCTTCCTCCAGCTTTCTGGATAAATGAACTGACCCAGAAGGTCCAAGACAGGGGTTTAGGAGTGTGAATGAGGGACTTTAAAAATACCAACATCCAGGCCCCATCTTAGAGGTGCTGATTTGGGTGGTCTGGGAATGGGGCCTGGACATTGGTGTTTTTAAAAGCTTCCCAGATGATTTTAATGTGTAACCAAGGCTGAGAACTGCTGGTCCTGGGCTTACTAATAAGTCTAGCTCACCCAAAGTTCCTCGGCCATTTTGGGCAGGTTGGAGCTAGAGGAGAGAGGCGGCGGGTGTGGGCTGAGCCCAGCTCCCTTGGCCTCTGCTGGCCCATCCTGTGGAGGGAGCATGGACTTGCCCTTGGGTCAAATGCCAATCATCCTGGCTCCCTGGGAGGAAGTTTCTTATGCTTCTGCTTCTGAATCGCATCTAGGGCCATTTTAATTTATTTTCACTTTTTCTAAATAGGCATTATATTTGCAGGGTTTGACAATTTTTTAAAACGGAAATACAGTCAAAAGTTGGCCTCTTACCTGTGCCTCCACCCATCCCATTCCCCCATCCTCTGGTACCTCTCTTATTGGTCTCTGGTCTATCTGTCCAGAGTATCTTGGAGGTACAAGTAAATACAAATATATATTCTTAGATCTCCTACTTTTTTCCAGTTTCACTGAAATATAATTAACACATAACATTGTCTTAGTTTTAGGTGTACAACATGATGATTTGATATATGCATATTTTGCGGTAAAATTATCACTGCGATAAATCTAGTTAACATCATCACCTTACATAGCCACAGGTTTGTTTTTTCCTTGTGATGAGAAACTTTGAGCTACTCTCTTAGCAGCTTTCAAATATACAATACAGTATTGCTGACTATGTCACCATGCTGTACATTACCTCCTCAGGACTTATCTATCTTATAACTGGAAGCTCGTACCTTTTGATCCCCTTCACCCATTTCACCCACACCCTATCCCCACCTGTGGCAACCACCTGTCTGTTCTCTTGTGTCTACAAGTTTGTTTTTTCAGATCCCACACAGAAGTGAGATCACACAGTATTTGTCATCCACGTTGTCACAAAGGGTCTCCTATTTTTATACACAAAGTTTACATATTATATAAACTCTTATACTTTTTCTTTCTTTCTATATGACTTGGATTTGTTTCCCATAGCAAAATGTCCTAAGCCTCATATTCTGTTTCGCACTGCACAGTGTCCCATTGCACGGATGCACCATCGCTCACACACTCAGTCCTCTATTGGTGGACATGTGAGTTGCTGCCAGTCTTTTGCTGTTTCAATCAGTGCACGGCCTTCATTTACCCATCATCACCATCTCTAAAACCCACAGAAACAATGAACTGCTCTCCTAGTTCCTCCTTGTTCCAACACCAGTGTGTGTGCTCTCCCGGGTAACACACACACACACTTCTTCCTTTCAGTGCACATTTCCCACACTTTGGCCTGCATCAGCATCTCCTAGAGGGCTGGTTCAAACCTAGGTTCCTGAACCTCTCTTTGCCCCATAGCTTCTGATTTAGTAGGTCTGTGCTGAGGTCTAAGAATCTGCCTCTCTAAAGAGTTCCCAGTTGCTGCTTCTACCGGTGGTCAGCAGACAGTACTTTGAGAACCACGGCCCTGATGCCTTCATCCTCAACACACAGTTTCCTTCCTTATAACTGGCTCCATCCACCTTTAAAGTCCTTTGCTATCTGCTTTCCTGAAGAAATTCCTTATCCTTTGGGGTGGGGGGGGATATATGTCTGGGAGACAGAAAAACAGAGCTCTGCCCTCCACTGACCTGCCTACTCTGTGCCTATGGGCATCTTATGTCCCTGAGACTCGGTTTTCTCGCCTGATTAAAGGTGAAGCTCTGTGACCTGACCAGGGGTGTGAGGGGCCAATGAGATCGTGCGTGTGCTTTTCAAACTCTAAGGTGGAAACGCAAATGGGAGGAGCCATTGTTGTTTCTGAGCCAATAAGGAAGATTCCTCCTAAGGGAAGGAAATCATTGTGCTGGCAGCAAAGGCAGCGGCCCAGGGGAAGAACTGGGACTAGTGAAGCAGGCAGAGCTACACTGCTGGTGGATGGAATGGAGGAAGCTGGGGTCCCCATGGCCGCCCACCTCCTCTCTCTCTCCCACTGGAGCCGGGAGCCACCTCCCTTCTCCTCCTTTCCAGCTCCCCCTTCCTCTTGTCCCACCCTCTGCTTCCCGCCCCTTGGCCAGGGGTTGGGGTGCTGCTGAAAATCACTGCAGCCGAGGTGTGGGGAAGAGACCCCCTTAGGATGGTGTGTGTGTACCTCTGGCCAGTGTCTGCCTTACTTGAGGGCATCTTTGTGTGCTCCTGGTCTCTGTCTTTGAGGCTTACCATGAAAATTAAAAATAAAGGTGTTCTAGAGAGTCTAGGTACTCAAATCAACAAAGCATCCCTCACCCTCCAGATTTGCTTCAAATCTAACCAGAATAAAATGTGAAAGAAAAAAAAAACAACAACTATGAAGCTGCAATGCATTAATTCAGCTTTTTTTTTTTTTTTTTTTGTGGTACGCAGGCCTCTCACTGTTGTGGCCTCTCCCGTTGCGGAGCACGGGCTCCGGACGCGCAGGCTCAGCGGCCATGGCTCATGGGCCTAGCCGCTCCGCGGCATGTGGGATCCTCCCGGACCGGGGCACAAACCCGTGTCCCCTGCATCGGCAGGCGGACTCTCAACCACTGCGCCACCAGGGAAGCCCTAATTTAGCTTTTTGATGAGCATTTTCGCAGGACCCACAGGAAGAGGAATTGGAGGATTAATTACTCAGTAGGCCTGATTTGAAAAGGTCTGACCTAAACTATCTCCCCCACTGAAATTGATGGCATTCTTAACCTGGATCTACCATGAAGCTGTCAGTACGGAGAGGAACACATTGCCAGGTGGACTGTATCACTTGGGCGTCCTTGCCCCCGGGCTTAGGGATTCAGCCAAATGGGCACTGGCAGGAGATGAAACACAGAGTGTTTATTCCTCCTTCTCTCTCTGCTTTGATGCCAGGGACTAGCAATGTCTGTGTTGCTCTGTGATTACAGGTAATCACAGTATCATCGATAAGCTCCAATAACACAATTTACCCTTCAGGCCTGTGGGTCATCATGGCTTCCTTCTGTTCCTAGTGCTTGGGGGGCATCCACCTGCCTGGGTGCTTCCCTGAGCCCTTTGCACAGCTCTGCGAGCAGTCCCTTTGTTCAATTATTGGTTAAGCCCTTCTGAGTGCGGCGCTGTTTTCGGTCAGGACCAGACTGATGCCCAGGGACACGTCAGGGCTGATGCATGGGGATTATGTCATCCTCGGCAAAGTGGAGCAGGGACAGGTGTGCGGGGGCAGGTCCCAGGGGGTGGGAAGGGCTAAGATTACAGGGAGGGCGGCCTGTTGGGCAACAGGCAGGTGGTCAGGAGGGGCAGGATGAGATCACAGGCCACCGAGGGCAGAGTCCTCTCCATCGTCAGCACTTTGCACAGTGCTGGGCCCCCGTGGACTCCCAGCACATGTTCGTGAATGAAGGAAGGGATCAGCGCCTTGGACAGGCACCAGGAAAGAGAGCCAGGAGGGACCAAAAAAGGGGGCAGGAATGAAAATCAGGTTTGGCCCTGGTCTTACTGTGGCTTTGGGCCAGGCTGAAACAGAACTGGGCACTGACTAAAGGGAGGTTTGTCAAATTCTGAGATGTCACTGCCTTTGCCGTCATGAAGCTTAGATTCTAGCTTAGAAAAAACTGATAAATAGGATGCTTAAAGTCTTTTTTTTTTTTGGCCTCACCACACGGCTTGCAGGATCTTAGTTCCCGGACCAGGGATTGAACACCGGGCCACGGCAGTGAAAGTCCCAAGTCCTAACCACTTGACCTCCAGGGAACTCCCTTAAAGTCTTTTTTTTTATTGTTGTTGTTTAATATTTTATTTTATTTTATTTTATTTTATTTATTTATTTATTTTTAGTGGTACACGGGCCTCTCACTGTTGTGGCCTCTCCCGTTGTGGAGCACAGGCTCCAGACGCGCAGGCTCAGCGGCCATGGCTCACGGGCCCAGCCGCTCCGCGGCATGTGGGATCTTCCCGGACCGGGGCACAAACCCGTGTCCCCTGCATCGGCAGGCGGACTCTCAACCACTGCGCCACCAGGGAAGCCCAGTTTAATATTTTAAAATAACTTTTTTTCTGTTTACATGCCCATGTTAAAACTTTTTGAAAAACAGATTTAAGCATAAAGGAGAGGCTGAAAACCACTAAGAAATAACCTGTACCATCCTGAGTATATCCTTACACTCCTGAGAGAGAGATACTGTAACTTGCTTTTAACTCAAGTTACAGTACATCTTCAAATATTTTTCCTGTCATCAGCATCTTTTTACCAGCCGAGGTATGATTATTAACCTTGAAATGAAGTGTGACACACATCAGATAATAGGAATAACTAACACTGCCTGAGCGCTCTGCCAGTTATCATGCTAACTATATTACATGTATTAGCTTGGGTTAGTGTTCAGAACAACCCTGTGAGGTATGCTTTGCCACTGTCCCCATTTTATACACGAGGAAACTAAGACACAGAGGGTTTGAATAACTTGTAAAAGTGAAGGAGCCAGGAGTCAAATCCAGAGGCTCTGGTTCCGAGGGTGAGAGGCTAGGTTGGCCACAGTGTCTGGATGGAAGACCTGGCTCCCATTGCCTGGAACGTGGGTTACATGCGGAACATCCAAGCTTACCTTTCCCCTCACAGAGAAGCCAGCATGGACCTTGCAGAAAACTGGTGGCCACTCACTGATTAAACGAGTGCATTTATTGAATGAGTCCCTGGAAAGTTATGAAGAAGGAATTGACATGTC